CCACACAGAAACACCAACTGACCCAGCCGAGGCGCGAACCAGCGACCTTCTTGCTGTGAGGCGACAGCATTATGTACTGCGCCACTGCGTCACCCCAAACTGCAGTTAAAGTCCACAAAATAATCATTTGTCAAATAATTCCATTACTGGTGTCCATGTAGACACGGCCACTGTCTTTCTCATCTGCGTCTGTGTGTTGTTTTGCCTCTGTGATAATCTGCTCGTGCCCAAACTGAAACTCCCATTTTCATGCAAACCCTTCCCTCTTTGCCTCCCCCGACACTCCCACCTACAGAGCTGGACACGCCCACTTTCCTGACTTTATTCAGACTAGAGGTGTGAAACGCTCTGCTGAGACAGGCGGGGTTTTTTGGTGCCCTTTAAGGATTGCAACAGTACAGAGTCTTCATTGTCAGATTTTCCTCTTCTAAATGCTCCACACATTCTCTATTGGAGACAGGTCAGGACTGCAGGCAGGCCAGTGCAGTGTCGGTCTCCTCTTCCTCTGCAGCAGGACTCTGTAATGTGAGCTGAATGTGGTTCTGCATTGTCTTGTTAGACTCTGCATGGGCGTCTCTGGAGCAGAAGGCAGCATATTGAGCTCCAGAATCTCTCTGTGCTGTTCAGCATTACTGGAGCATCACAGTAGAGCAGGTCACCCAGGTTAACCCCAGACCATGACAGACTCTGGCTTCTGGACTTGTTGCTGGTGACAGTCTGGATGATCCTCTTCTTCTTTGGTCTGGAGCACACGGCGTCCATTTCTCCCTGAAACACCTGAAACACTGCTTCATCTGAGCACAGGACACGTCTCCACTGTGTGATGCTCCATCCCAGATGCATTCAGAGCCTAGAGAAGCGCTTCTGGACACTGTTAACATAGGGCTTCCTCTTGGCACAGTGCAGTGTTGGCTGGTGTTTGTGGATGTGACTCTGTATTGTGCTGCTTGTCGAAGGTTTGCCGCAGTAGTGCTGAGCCCATGTGCTGATCTGCTTATAGATGACTGAGGACTCTTGATGCAGCGCCCCCTGAGGGGTCGGAGGTCACGCTTGTTCAGCTCAGGCTTGCGCTTCTGTCCTTTACGCACTGAAACTCCTCCAGATTCCTTCAGTCTTTAATGCTGTTCTGCACTGTTGAAGGTGAAATATCCACATGTCTACTCTCTTCCTCTGAGGATCATTGTGTTCACACACTTCACTCATTTCCTCTTCTATCTGTGCTCAAACTGGCGATCCTCGACCCATCTCTGCTCCTAAAGCACTAGAGCTTTCCTGATGAGCAGATTCACCAACTGTTCACCAAGCTTGAGCTTTGTAACACAGCGAACTGCGTAGTCCCTCCAGCGGGTCCTGGGTCTTCCCCGAGGCCTCCTCCCGGTGGGACAAGCCTGGAACACCTCCCTAGGTAGGCGTCCTGGAGTCATCCGAAACAGATGCCCGAGCCCCCTCAGCTGACTACGCTCGATGTGGAGGAGCAGCGGCTCTACTCTGAGCTCCTCCCGGGTGTCTGAGCTCCTCACCCTGTCTATAAAGGTGCGCCCTGCCATCCTGCGCTTGTATCTGAGACCTTGTCCTTTCAGTCAGACCCAGAATCGGAACGTAGATTGACCGGTAAATGGAGAGCTTTGCCTTTCCGCTCAGCTCCTTCTTTACCACAACGGACCGATACATGGACTGAATTACTGCTGCACCAATCCACCTGTCAATCTCACGCTCCATCCTTCCCTCACTCATGAACAAAACTCTGACTCTACTGGAACTCCTCCACCTGGGGTAAGGACGACCTGTAGATGGCAAACCAGCTTTTTCCAGTGGAGCACCGTGGCCTCAGACTTGTAGGTCCTCTCTAGTCCAATATGAGTCAAGTGGTGGACAATCAGAGAGTAATGATCAATAATCAATAACAGCAGCAGCAGAAGAAACCTGGAGAATAACACTCGCTGAATATAACGCTCACACAGACGGCACGGTCGAGCTGCAGACACTAGCGCAGGTGTGTGTGTGTGTGTGTGCTGGAACACTATGGCGCATTATGGGATGGAGGAGCTCACCTGCGGGTTTGACTGCGCCAGACTCTCAATCTTCATCCAGGCCTCCTCTCGCTCCTTCAGCTTGGCCTTCTCTCTGCAAGCAGAAGAGTGTGTGATCATGAGGAAGTGTGTGTGTGTGTGTGTGTGTGTGTGTGTGTGTGTGTGTGTGTGTGTGT